CAATTACAGAGGCAGCTGGGATCTGAAAGCTCCAAAAAGGAGTAATCAAAGCAACATGAGTGACTTAACGGAGTTTGAAAGATGCCAGATAGTTGCTGCACGGCTATCCGGTGCATCTGTCACAAAAACTGCACAGCTGTTTAATGTGGCAAGAGGAACAGTCTCCAGAGTCATGACTGTGTATGTCAAACATGGACGCACAGCATCGGCAAAGAAAAACAGCGGGCGCAAGTCAAAGCTCACCGAAAAGGACAGACAGACCCTTCTCAGAATAGTTGATGAACACCCTGAGTATACAGCCTCAAAGTTAACCACAGAGCTGAATAGACACCTCTCTCACACTGTCTCAGTGAAAACTATACGGCGAGAGCTTCACAAAGCTGGTATTTTTAGAGGAGCAGCCAATCGGAGGCCAGAGGCCGAGACTGACACACAAAAGCCAGATGGAAAGAACACTGAACCAAATCCTGACACACAAAAACCCGCTGAAGAGAGCACAAGACCTGAAATGGAAACAAATTACAAAGAGTTTGGCACACAGAAGCCTGTGGAAGACAAAACAATATCTGAACCCCAGACTGGTGTCAAAGAGTACAACGCAGAAAAATCTAGAATACAACCCGAACCCCAAGTCGATGAAGAAGAGTACAGCACACAAACCCATGGTGCCGAGAGCACAGGAGCTGAACCTCTGACAAGTGAAAACAAATAGTATTGTCTGATGTGTTTTATTTCAGCCTTCAAACATCCAGATTGGTCATGTTAAGGGAAAACCACAGAATGCCTTCGCCCCTTAATGTTGCCAACTGCCCATTGAGCTGTAATAACATTTCACTTTTTAGATGATTATTTATTTTGCATGAGTGCATCATGGTGCAATATTCAGACTTTAACCAAGCTTTTTCAATTTCTAAGGGTTACGAAGCCAACATTACTAAAATGTAGACTGTTAAGGATTTAGTCCAGATTGTTGAACTCCTTCCTGTAGGTGTTGAACAGTACGTTGTGGTTTCGTTCATTGCAAAACACTCAACTGAATACAGTTAATGTTCCTAACATG